GAGGCCCAGCATGTCCAGCAGCTGCATGAGGAGAACCGGCAGTTCCTGCGCATCCCACGGAGGTGAGTCCTGCAGGGCCGGGCCTCGATCTCTTTCTGCTGAGTGGCTCAGGACTTTGGTGGCTGCAAGCCTGGGGACAGCCCTCAGGTTTGTCAGTACTTTGTTTTTGGGAAAGCCGCTACCTAACCTGCATGAGTCTGCTGTAACCTACAGCACAGGTGCTTGCCTGCCATGCGAATGCTGCCAGCCTTAGCCCGTCTGTCCTAATTGCATGGGTTTCCTGCTCAAAGCCTGGCACTGCTGGAGCTGATGTATCCAGGCCACCCAGTAGGCCTTTCTAGAGCCCTGTGCATGGTGGACAGAGAGATTAATCCTCTGTCTTAAATGTCCTACAAATCTTAGCTTGAAAAAATGGCTTTGTGAGATCTAATGTGTGTAGGATAGTGTACTCTTGGCTAGGGGAGCTTAGAATGAACAAGGAAAAAAGACACGCTTAAAGTTGCTGAAAACAGGTGCATGCATGTCTGAACTGTAACCATCTCAGTGTAGCTGAATGTGTGGTGCCTATTTTCTTTATGGATGTTTACGGCAGTAATGTGACTGGCCTAACTGCTGCTTCTGACGACTCACTCCAAAATGTGCTTGTTCCAGGCCCCGTTGGGATAGGACCACCAGTGCGGAGGACTTGAAGCAAGCTGAGAGGGAGAGCTTTCTCGAATGGAGGCGACAGCTTGCCCAGTGAGTATGCCAGTTGTGTCTGGGTAAGTAGCCGGTGGCATTTGGAGACACAGGAAGCAGTGAGTTGTATTTATCTTTCCTGGACCAAGAAAATTAACATCTTGTCAGTAGCTCCCTGTAGTTGTTCTGGAAGGCTAGACATCCCAGCCACAGTCCCAACTTGTCTTTGGGGAGCTTTGCAAAGCTCTCCTGTGTATGCATGTTCTTGTACTGTTTACAGTTAAAATTCTTCAGGATGGAGTGGATGTTCTGCTTTTGCCTGTGAAGTGGGGAAGTGATGAATGTGTCTTATAAAAGCAACAGTGCTGCTCTGAGTGAAGTGCAGTGCTACCAGTCTGTGTACAGCAGCTTGTGCTGGTCTGGCACTGCATCTGCTGGCCAGGAGAGTTAGGTGGTGCTTGCCCTGAGTAAAGTCGTTTAGGCGGTGGTAACAGCAAGTCAAGGATTATATAGAGCCATTTCAGGTACCATCTCCAAATTCGTTATTTTTGCCAGGTGGTGCTTGATTAAGTAATAACTGCTGATATTTGGGATAACTTCTCTGGTTTATTATTCTGGCTCTGAAATTTCATGGGCAGACTTTTGATGAGTTTTTGCTTTTTCCATCATTTACCAGTTCTCCATTGGCATGATCAGGAGCCATTGTGTCACCACTGAACCAATGTCCCTGATCCCAGTTTACCTGGGTGCTTGACATATTTGCAAAACTAACAGAAATAATACCTGTATATGAGTCTGATTTGGTAGCTGTCTCTGAAACTACAGCCACCTGGATCTGAGGAAGAACTGGTGGTGTGCTTATTGCCTAATGTGGGCCAAATACAATGTCTTTTTTTCTGTTTTGTCTTAGCCTTGAGGAAGAAAAAAAGTTAATTCTAACCCCATTTGAACGAAACTTGGAATTTTGGCGTCAGCTTTGGAGAGTCATTGAAAGAAGGTAAAGTATATCACTATCTGCTTTTTTAAAGTAATGTTTTATGTGTTTTCCTGAACTGAAGCTTTTGAGTCAAGCTTCAAGTGTCTGAGCACAGGAAAACCAATTCCAACTAGTAATGTTTTATTATCAGCATTGAAGTGACTTTGTTTTGAAGTGATCAAAATGTGATGTGAAGAAGGGCAGCTGCTTAGTGGTGCACGCTAGTGCTCAGCACTGCGATTCTGTGGATGGTTCACTGCGAGTTTCTGATGATTCTTCAGATGCTGCTGCTCTTGGCCTATTCCAGTAACTCTGTTTGAAGATGTGTCTTTGAGGTCTTTTGCCAACATTAACCCTTTCCCCTCTTTCTCAGCCACGCAGCTGCAGCCTGACATTCAGGGGCAGGAGGCAAGGGAGATCAACTAAATAACATTGGGAAAGAAAGAGCCTCTTGGTCCTTGGCCTCTTGCCATGTGGAGAAACTGCAGCAGTACACAAAAGACAACAGCCTGTCATATCACAGAAATAGCTTTGTTTGCTCTGCTGAGCTGTAATACAATAGGAGTGCTATCTGCTACATTAATCTAACTAGGGCATTTAATTTCACTAGTAATTAAGTTTGAGATCATCCTGTCTGATTTTCCTAAAATTGAAAAATACTTCACCAGTGAGGTCATGGTGAGCTGGTCCTTTCACAGAAGTGGCTTTGTACTGGGTGCTGCTGGGCCTTTGGCTGGGAGAGAGCTGGGTTGGGACCTCCACTATAGGGTATCATGGTGTGCAGTGTGAGTGTATTGTGTGTTTTGAGGTGGTTGGAATGTGTTTTTAATGCCTTTCTGCTCTTGTTGGAGGTTTTTATTTCATGTAGACTGAGGATGCTGTCTCAAAATCGAATAGAAAAGTCATCCAGTCTCTTACCTTGCTGGAGAATTTGATCTGTTGTCAGCCTTTTCTTGTGTTTGCTTCAAACTAACTCCCAGCAGTGTGATTCAGTAACTTCTCTGTATCTCATCCCAATACCATGGTGTCAACTTTCTCTTGTATTGATCTTTGAATTTCTGTAACTGTTCAGTACCTCTTTGTACTCATGTGGCTTATTAAATTACTCCCTTGAGGGATTTATTAATTTTTTTTTAATTTTTATTTTTTTAAAAAAATATGTAACCAGCTGCCTAGTGAGGCTTGAAATTCTTCCATTCAACCCGTCGTGTTCTGAAGCTGTCCTAAGTTAACAGAAATCTTTGTCAAACAAATAGCATCAGCACGTGGCAACCAGTATTTTAAATTTCCTGTCTGGAGAAGTTGTACTGGAAGAGGCTGTAGTTAAATTTTCCCCCTCCTTTTGAAAAAAAAAGCATGGATGCCTCTGGTATCTGAAGCCAGTGTGTTTAATTTGCGTGTAGAACTGATGACTGCTGCTTATATATGTGGTGGCAACCTGGTGTCTGGATTTGGAAGGTATTTCCTAAAAGCACGCTTGCAAGGCCTTGCTTGCATGGGGGAGCAATGTATTTTACTGGAGTCTAACACTATTCTTTCACCATTCTGTGCTTTTTGTGACAAGAGCATAAAGGAAATTCTGAAAATGACTGATAGCAAATGCTTAGAATCTGCAGGTCATTTGTGAGAGACTTTATACATCTTGCACCATGCAAAGAGGACAACGATGTTCCAGAATATCTCACTGTGTAGGAAAACCACTCTTTTTCCTCTCTGTAGCCACCCTGCCGCAGTTTGGGGATGAGAATAGACAGAAATAAAGTTGTGTTATCACAGTTTCTAGTAATGTTCTGAAGGACAGAATACCACTACTATGGTTCTTGCCTGCTGAGCATTTCTGAAGGGTAGATGGATTGGCAAAACTCGCCTGCTTCCTTTCCCCTTGCTAGCTGTACAGGAGAATTAGCCAAGGCAGAAATACTGTACAGCAGTACTGGCTTGTAGCAGAGGCACGGCTCTATTGGGGCATGTGGGATGCTGAGATGCTTTGTTAATTCAGAAAAGATACTTCGTAGGATAATACAGTTAAAACCATTAAAATTCCAAGCAAAACCTAAAAGTGAGTAATGTGCTGTGCCTTACTGCTTTCTTTGAGGCAAGATAAGAAAGAGTACTTAATGGGGTTTTCTTTTATTTTTGCAGTGATATTGTAGTCCAGATAGTAGATGCTAGAAATCCCCTTCTGTTTAGATGCCAAGATCTGGTAAGTAAACCGCTTTCTTGAATGTTGTCTTCATTTGATATCTTAGAGTTTATATGATTTATTTTTTGTTTAGCACATTCAGCCACCTTGAAGCTTTTCTGCTGTTGTGCCTAACTGGATATCTTATTTATGCAAGTATTCTGACATCAAATTATTTTTCTTCAATGTTTTTTGATATTTCACACAGAGTGTTGTGGATTTAGAGGCAATTCTGTAGATGTTGTATTGCAGATATGATATTGCTCCTCATTACCCACTAGAAGTGTCCACACTTAAAGGAATTGTTCTGTTTGAAAGCGTAGTGTGATAAAAATGAGTGAGGATTACTGTGCTGAAAGCGAAGAATCAGGAATCATTGAAGTGACAACTTTGTAATGATGGACTATAGAACGCTGTGCGTCAATGAGATTCGAAGTTGCTCAAATAGTTGATCTTGGGAGTTCCTGCTGTGAGATGGTGATTAATATCTTGTCGTTGCTCTAAGCAGATACAGTGTTTGCACGTGGCCAGAAACAATCTGTATTGCAGTAGTTTCATGCTCCAATTTGTTTTTGTAGCTGTCTGTAAAACACCAGTTCCATCTAGCCCAGGGGATGGTAAGCTTAGCTACACTTGTGTGGAACTGAATGGGGTAACTTGTCTTGCTGCTCTTATATCACCTGGGGGAGGAGGAAGAGCCCAAATCAGAGTATGAACTGATCCTTCTCTTATTTTCTTCAGGAAAGTTACGTTAAGGAAATCGGCAATGACAAGGAGAACATGATCCTGATAAACAAAGCAGATTTGCTGAGTGAGGAGCAGCGGACTGCTTGGGCACAGTTCTTTGAGAAAGAGGGTGTTAAGGTGGTGTTCTGGTCAGCTTTGGCAGAGTGCAAACGGCTATCTGGAGAAGCAAAGGTACTGTGGATGACCAGTTCAAACTGGGTATGTGCTGGCTGCCTCTGATAACATGCTTTGCAGTTATGCTTGTGGTGTACCTGAGCACCTTTCCGGGAGAGGCACAGCCCTTATCTTGGGGAAGGATTATTCCAACGACCTGCGAGGCTGTAAAACAGCATTTTAACAATCAATTCAGAGACAAAAGTGAGGACAGTAAAATGCTGAACAAAGTGGTACACCTTTCAGTCACTGTAGAGCTTGCAATTTCTCTTTCAAGGTTAATGACTTGATTAAACAATAGTAACTTTGTTCCTTGAGGCTGCTGATGAATAGCTACAGAAACAGCCCTTGTAATTCTTTTTACAAACTCTTAACTCATTGAAAAAATTGGAATACTTTCCAAGAAGGGTGCTGAGGGATGTGGTTATCTGTACAGAGGATTTTCTTCTCCCAGGGAGGGGAGATGTTTCTTGGAGAACCTAGAGTACCTGAGAGCCTTTCTTTGCCCAGTGGAACAAACTGTGCTGCTGCCTCAAGTTATCAATAGGCGCCACTTTCAGGTTTTACTGTGTTCATCTGTTATAGTCATCACTATTCAGCTATGGAATATCCCATATTGCCTTGCAAAAATACCTAGTCTGTTCAACTGGTTTACAGTCCTTGGATAAAATGTTTTTACAGATTGATTTAAAAGCAAGACTGAAAGTGTTAGTTCTGTTTTCTTTTTTGAAAAGAAAGGTCAAAATACTGTTGTTATGAAAAGATCTTCCTTTTTGAATGAGAACTATTTGCAGGGAAGAAATGCAAAGAATTGGACTGAAAACAAGACAGCTTGAAAATATTTTAATGAAGTATTTAGACCTGAACCAAAATGGCTTTGTGTTCTGAACATTTTGAAAAATTTACATTCATTCCTATTACTAGGAAGTCTTGATAATTTAAAAAAAAAAAAAGTATTGGGCTCTGCTGGTGCTGTGTGTAAGGATGCTGTGGATGTGCGTGCATTCAGAGTTGTGCTTCTAGAGAGAAACCTCTAACAACTTCACAATGAACTAAGAATCCCTGTTGGAATACTTTTGTCATTGTCCTAAAATGGGCTAGTTGTTCCTACATCCTACTTAAGACCCCTAAAGAAACCTGTGTGATGTAAGCAGTGAAGTGTCAGTCCTTGGGATCTGGCTGATGAAAACACAGTTGACTGTGCTGCAGCAACTGCAGTCAGCAGCAAGACTTAGTGTTGTCTTTGCATTTCACATATCAAATACTGTTCACACAGGAGTTTGACACTGGAGATGTAGCAGAGGACCCGAGTGATTCTGAGGATGAAAGCTTCAGTCGAGAAGATGACGACACAGCACAAGATAGCGCAGAAAGCACGTCCACAGGCAACGCTCTGCAAACTGTAAACCAAGTTCTGGTTAGTGATGATGACAGTAGTGATGAATATGAAGACTGTGAAGATGATGAAGAGGAGGCCTGGCAAACCTGTTCTGAAGATGACGGCGGGGACAAACTAAATGCTATTGCTCCAGAGAGGATGGGAAGCAGGACTGATGGTGCTGCAGTGCAGCATGTGGTGCAGGAGGAGAACAGGAACATCAGGAACTTCAGCCATCTGGTACAGAGAAATGAGCTGCTGGAGATATTCAAAACCATGCACAATGGACCAAGGGTGAAGGATGGGGAAGTAAATGTTGGGCTGGTGAGTTGGGCTTTGTGCTTAAATAGAACTTGCTTAATCTAAATCTTAATTCTGTGTGTCTTCCATGGGAAAAATTACCCTTGTAGAAAGCCAGGCTACAAGATTTTTAAAAAAAAAAAAAACAAAACCAAAACAAAAACCAAACCAAAAAAACAACAACCCAAAACCAAACCAAACAAAACCCCAAAAAACTATCAAGCGGCACAAATCATTGAGAGTTTTGTGCAAAGGTTAATTCTGAAGTTCCTGGAGCTCAGTGTTCCCTACTGCTTGCCTTAATTGTTTTAGTACATTTTATTAAAGTAATTTTGTGTCAGAGCTCTGCCAGTCTTCTGGCATTGCGCTGCCTGATACCACTGTTACCGTTCCACTTTTTTGTCATCTAGGTGGGTTACCCTAATGTTGGCAAAAGTTCGACCATCAACACAATCCTTGGAAATAAGAAGGTGTCAGTGTCTGCTACACCAGGCCATACAAAACACTTCCAGGTATTGCTAACAGAGAGTATTGATCTCTTTATTATTTCTTTTTCCCCAGTGGAAGAGAGCTTCGTTATGAACTAGTTGCAACCACACGGACTCACTGAGAACTGTTTGCCAACCAGAACTCTGCCCAGCAGAGTAGGTTGGAGAGGGGTGGGCTTGATGTATATAACTTCGAAACTTTAGTTCTTGCTTCCAAACTCTTGCTATAGTTTGAGAGTCACTCATGAGCTGCTGTGTAATGGGAGATATTTTCCATCTCCTGATTTTATTTGGGTAGCTTGGCCCTTCTTTTTTCAACACCAGTCATGAGGAGAGAACCTCTGAAAAGTGAGTGCTCCTCTGCATAGCTTAAGGTCAAGCTTTCAAACTGTCCTTGTGCACAGTCATTGCTGTGAATAAGTCTAGTTATGCTGCCATTTTCATATTGATCAAGCTCTTAATTTTGAGGTAGAAACTCCAATGCTATAATGAGCATTGTGGGATTTGTACTTGTGTAATCTCCTACCTGTTCGAAAAGGTCCAACACAGTTAAAGATTTCTGGAGTGCTTTCTTCTCTCCCATCAGATTGGAGAGCTGAAGATCTTGCTGCCCCCATCCGGACACCTTATTTATGAACTTTGGAAGTGCTGCTGTCTTCCACATCAGATTTCCTTAATTCATTGGCTGGGGTCAGCAGGCCAGATGTCTGTGTTAGTAGAATTCCTGCTTATTCGCTTATTCTCATTTGCATCCGTGTTTCATCTATGCATTTGATTTTTTTTTTTTCTTTTTTTCCTCCATGGACACTGACTTGCCTTGATGAACTAATCGATTATTTATTGTGTAGACCCTGTATGTGGAGCCTGGCCTGTGCCTTTGTGATTGCCCTGGTCTGGTGATGCCATCTTTCATCTCTACCAAGGCAGAAATGATTTGTTCTGGAATTCTGCCTATAGACCAGATGAGGGACCATGTCCCACCTATTTCTCTAATATCCTTTGCATGGGGTTTGTGAGAGTGTCTGCAAGTGTTGGATCAAGGGGCACACGTGCTCATGCGTTGAGGGCAGTGGGGACACACGCTGGATAAAACAGCCTTGCTGTATTGGTCTTTCCCCACCTCATTTCAAGTTTGTCTTGTTGTCAGACTTGCATTGTTTTTTCTAGTTTGTGACAATATCCGAAAGGCACTTTTAATGTGTACTCTTGGAGTGACTAGGGCAAGATTATTTGTGTAGCTGAAAAATCACCAAGTGGTTTCCTTCACTAGCTTACGTTTGCCAGCATATCCCACGGAACATTTTGGAAGCAACCTATGGAATAAATATCATAAGGCCAAGGGAAGATGAGGATCCAGATCGAAAGCCAACAGCTGAAGAGCTGCTAACAGCATATGGATGTGAGTGATGATCCCTTTAAAACCTGTCGCCTATGCTGTGTGTGTGGTCCTGAACACGGCCTTAGGAGAACTTTTTAAGGTTAGGCCCAATTCAAGTTTGTCATGCAATGAACTTCCCCGTTAGGACTTGCCCTCCTCTCAAGAACGGCCTTTGTTAACAGCTAATCTCGTGTGTTTGTTACAGCGGTGCTTTGCCAGTTTTGTCCGACAGATGTAGTGATTGTGTTGAGGATGTTGGTGAAATACCCTGCTAGTCTGTAGTGTGTTGCTCCCATCCTTTTAGATGCCTCCCATCAACTGTGTCTTAAATTAAACCTTCACTGCATTCTTCAAAGTCTGTTTCCCTTATCTGATTCTCTGATGCAGTTAACCTTCTCCAGCAGGTTTTCTGGTGGTAGGGAGATGTCAGCTCTCATCATTCCTTTCAGGTTAGGATGCCTCTGCAGTATCTCTACAGTCAGCAATGTTCCCTTTTTACCCTGCTTTCTCCAACAGAAGCCTCTTTCTAAGGGAGTTTTTTTGAAGAAAGGATACAAATGTGCAGTTAGGCAGCAGAGAAGAATGTATTAATTCTCTTGTTGAACTGACACAGAATGTACTTTGGATTTGTCTTCCAGATATGAGAGGCTTTATGACAGCTCATGGACAACCAGACCAGCCGAGATCAGCTCGATATGTGTTAAAAGACTATGTTAGTGTAAGTGCTTCCTTCATCTGGGTTTTCTTTCCTGCTAAGAGGTGAATTGAAGGTTGCACTGGAGCATGAAGGAGCACAGTAAAGTGAATTCTATTTCTCTGGATAAAATCACCATATATCAAAATACTATTTAAATTGGGCTATTTTTATGTTGTAAAAGAATGGAAAGGTGATTGCTTAGAAATATGGTGCTAGCTAAATAAATTATCATATCTCTCTAAAAGGCAGCAGATACTTGGGAAACGAACCTATATTGTATGGTTGGACCAGTATTTGGCACTAAGGACTGTAGTTCTGAGTGGTGTAATACTGCATGCTTCTACAGCATCCCTCGGCAACTTATTGTTGAGTATTTCTTAATAGGATCCTCCAGTACTCCTGAGAGTTTTGCGCTGTACTGTTTGCAGCTGGACATTGCAACTGGAAATGGTGCTTTGTAGTAGAAGTGGAACAGTACTTTAGAAGTTGAGCCAATTGTTGCCTAGGAGGAGAAATGTGAGCCCCTGGACTTCCAGGGCCCTCCTTAGGTTTGGAGTTGTCTTTCCTCTCTGGGCCTCTCTTTCAGATTTTTTGGTAATAACTGTATCCTATTGCATTCACAGGGGAAGCTGCTATATTGCCATCCACCTCCTGGCATTGACCCAAATGATTTTCAGCACCAGCACCAGAGATGCCCAGAGAGCAGAACTGTGCAGGCCAGTGGACAGATGAAGCCTGAGAAGAATACCAAAGCAAAACAAATTGAAAATGTGGTGGACAAAACGTTTTTCCACCAGGTAAATTCTGGAGATTTATTCTAGAAGTTTTTACTGCAACACTGGTGTGCCATAGTTGCTGGAAAAAAAACAGCTTTGAGGATGGAGGAGTGCTGGGTTGAGTTAGTGGTGTTAGATCCTATGGGATCTGCATGTATTTTTATTATGTCCTGAATCACTGGGATGTCCTAGGTGACTGGAAGATGGCTAATAAGGTGTGCATAGTTGGTTTTTTAAAAGGTCCGGGGCGGCCCTTGTCATTATGGGCCTCACATCAATCTTGAGCAAACAGGAGGGTGACTGGGAAGAAAGACAAAGAAGGAAGGTGGTGTGACACAGCAACCAACCAGGAACATGGTTTTGGACTAAGAGATCCTTCAAACTAACTTTGCTTTCTTGACATGACGTATTTAAAGGATGCAATAAGCTTCTTTAAGACAACTGATTTAGTACTACATGGTTGTTTTGACTCGGAACCTGAAATCAGATGAAAAGAACACAAACTAATTTAAAATTTAATTGAGGAATCTTAAAATGAAGTGGAAAATAGGAATTTTTCTTAACTTGTATGCTTCTTGTTAGGTCCCACAGGGATTTGTTTTGCCCTTACACTACTGAAAAAAATTATTAATGACTTGTAATGAAATGCCAAATTCAAAACTGATTAAGTCTGCATACCTTACAAAGATCAAAATGGAGTGCTTAGCAGTGAAGAGGATGGGTCATAGATAGCATTCTGTTTGGTTAGCTGGATATGAACAGTGTTTGTTTTAGCACAGCTAAAGATAGTTATGCATTTTGAAAACAAGAACTCGGGCTCTTTTCAAAAAAACAGTGAGCTGTTTCGGAAAACTATGACCTGAAAAGAATTTTTGGGATTACCAGACTCTTCCTTTGGCTGCCCAAAGTGTTGGCACGAGCTGTGAGCGCCGGTAGTGCTACCCACGCTCCAGACTTCAGCAAGTTATTTTAGTCTCTGGCTTTCACAGACGCCAGATTTATTTGCAAAGACAGTTTGTTGTGTGCAAAGCAGAGACTGTGAGAATCAATCCTAGTGCCATAGCTGATGTCTGTCGGAGTTCAGTGTCTCGTCAACGCTCTGCCGCTGCCTGCAGTGGTAGACACTGACGACCTGGCGCAGCGAGGCCTGTCTGCAGACAGAACTGGAGTGTGCTGGCAGGCTTTGGTTCAGCTGCATGGTGTGACCTTTCCTGCAGCTCTGGAGCTGGGGGTTGAGCAGGTCTTGATGGGTTTGAACTTGCCTGTGTCTGGTTTTATTAACATATCACAGTTCCTTGTGGTTAAATATCTTCTCATCGGTCACTGGTGATTATGTCTCCTCTTCCAGGAAAACGTTCGTGCCCTGATGAAAGGGGTCCGGGCTGCAATGGGATACCGGCCTGGCAGTGGCCTTGTGCCTGTGACTACACCCAATCCTGGGAATGTGGTAGGAAAGCCCTGGAAAAAACATGGAAACAGGAACAAGAAGGAGAAAATTCGCAGGATCACTAAGCACCTGGAGGCTTAGTGTGGCACCAGTATCTGGCCTTTCCAGGGCAGGGACTGCACTGTCCTACAGGCCTGAACCGAGGGGAAAAAAAGGATAAGTGGGCGTTGCTAGCTCACTTGGGAGCTCCATGCTATGGATTGGCCTGGGCACGGGATAAAAGTGGACTCTCATAGCTGGAGCTCATCCGTCCTCAGAACAAGAGGGACCTGGCCGTTCATGCTATCTGGAAACCAGCCCAGATGTTTGACTGCTGCTGAAACATCCCTTCAATAGGAGCAGATGGACTTGTGTGGGAATATTTTTGGTCTTTTTTTTTTTTCCCCCCCCTTCTGTAAAGGATGTATTTTATAGCTGTTGGGATCAAAGCAAGCCCTGTAAAACTGACTAAAATCTCTAAAACAGTTGAATTTCAATGACTGATGTTTGTTACATTTTGAGACCCTATTGCTTGTCTCATTTGTTGGTTTTTTTTTAAAGCTTGTTTGTTGATTTGACTGAACACTTCAATGTGAAAAATGAGGTAAAAGGATCTTTATTGCTCTCTTCTTTCTCTACTGTACCACCTGTATTCTGTAGAATCTGGTACTGAAACCACTCCCTGTTTCCCAGCTTAAAGCAGAGGCAGAGCAGAGCACGGCACACCGTGCAAGGAAAATGCTGCTTTTACATCCTTCGCACTGAGCTGGTATCGGTTGTTTTTCTGTGTGACTTCCCGTTGGTATTTTGAAATACTAGCTCTGTGTGACTGGCCAAAAATCTGGTGCTAATTTGTCCTTAAATATATTTGCAATTTTACTTCCTATATGGCGTCATGTTCTGTCTCGCTCATCTGTCAGGCATTGACCTAGTCACAGAAGTGTCATAATGGCAGATTTTAATGAGCACATTAGTATTTGACTAAAAAGACTGTACTTACTTGGGGTCAAACTTAAGTGAGATTTACTCCTTGGTTGCCCGGCTGAGAAAATGTTTGTGCACTTCGTCAACAGTCTTCATTCCTGGTTCAGCACAGGGAGTAATGATAGGACTGGAAGGGCTCGCAAAGACAAGTACTGCTTTGTTTTTGAGTGGTGAAGCAGAATAACAGATGACCCTGGTCTCTGATACTAAAAAAGGGATTACTGTCTTGTAATTTTGTACTTTGCAGGCCTTAAGTATGGACGGAGAGATGAAAGCAACTGCTGAGCAAAGCCACAGCAGATGTGGGGTGTGCAACCAAGCTGGCTTTGGCTTTGTGACCCTTTGTGTGCTTGTCCTGTACAACCAGTTTGCACGGTGTATGCGGAGAGTCCCCTGACAGCAGAGCTCTCACCTCGGCTCTTGCCTCCCCTGGAGTCCCTGCTCTCAAGTTCTTAATTACATCACTTCAGGGAGGGTATTTCCCTGCCACTTGTAAAACTAAAGCATAATTATACTGAATGAATATGGTCAAGGGTATTTTAAGTCTGTACCACAGTGGAAAGTAGATTCTCAGGAGAGACTATTTAATCTGTTTCTCTTGGAGAAGGTGCTTTTTGTCTTTGTTTCCTGAAGAGGTTGTGCCCTAGCCAAGTCTGTCTCTGATCAGACTTCCCCACCCTCCTTGGAGGGATAGCTTCTGCTTTTGTCCCTTATAATACTTCGGGGACCTGATTGCTCAGAAACACCTATTTCTTTTATTCCTATCTTGTGTGAAGCTATTATCTGTCAAATTACGTGTCAAACTGAAGTTGGGGTATCATTTATTGAAGTTTTAAAGTATTTTTTCTATTCTGTTTCTCTCCTTTCAAAGCATTTTGAATTCTTAGTTCATGTTGCACGTACCTGAGTTTTCTTTTGCATTCTCTGCCCTTTCCTGCCAGCTGGGTCTCCATGAGCCTCCTTGCTGGACAGGCTGTGTCCTGGTGCAGACCCTTCCAAATCTAGTGAGCAACAGAAATTGCCAGGGCCTGAGACTTGGGACAACTCTGCTTGTTGCTCACAGAAACCTTTGGCCACAAGACCTGCCAAGCTACTTGCTGTGTTTGTGTGAATGAATGGAGGATAATGTAAATACGACTCAGCAAATAATGTTTGCTCAGGTTTGTTAAATGCCAAGTGCTCCTTGCTGTGCTAAAGGACTCTTGCCTCGATGGAAGGACCATAAAGAGAAGTTGTGGACCTAAAGGCTTGTTAATATTTTATGCTGCTACTGAGCAGTGGGCAAACTAGGTAATAGGCGAGGATGGTGGTTAAATTAATGCTTTCCTGTGGTGGTTTGTTCTGTTACTGAATCACATCCACCCTGCCCTACCCTTGCAGGGGAACGCCAGCCAGGCTGCGTTGACAGCTCAATACATCACATATGAGCAGCTGGCAGGCGTGAGGCAATGTGGGGACTGCTCTGTTGTCAGGAGCCTGCACAAAGGAGACGTTGTGCTTTGCCCTGGCCACCTGCTGAATGAGCCTCTCCTCCCATCGCTTTCTGCAGAAGGCAAGTTTCCATTTTCGAGTGCTGTTTTCTTAAAGCACCTTGTGCATGTAGAGGGAGCGTGCAGGCTGCAGCCGGCTCCAGTCTGTTTTGGGATCTACAGCACTTGTGGCACCCTAACGGTCTGCCTCCCCTATTAGGGGGCTTTGTTTTATTATGCAAGCAGTTCGTTTTCCTGGCTGATGTCATTACCTGCTGCACTGATACCTGCAGCAGAAACACAGAGCCAGTTTGGGAATATGGTTTGAAGCTGAACTGCTCTTTTATGGTATCTTGCACTTGCATCACGAACTACAATTCTCCCCGCAGGGCAGGAGCTGGAGCTGCTATTCTCCTCCACGTCTCTTTTGCCCAGTTTAGGGAGCCCTAGTCCAGCCCCGAGTCTGCTCCCAGCAGTGTGTGGTGCTTTCTACCCCAGGGGAGCTGCTGGATGCTGTACTGTGGGCAGAGGGTGGTGCTGGCAGCGCCTGGTGGCATTCCCTGCCCAGGGACCCTCGGAGCCAGCCATGCAGGGGATGCCAGCCATGGGGCATGGTGGCTCTGCCGCCTGGCCAGCAGCTTGCCTGGCTGGGGAGCCGGGCTGTGCATCCTGGGGGCTCTGGATGTGGGCCGTGCTGTGCTGGATTGCTGCCTGCTCACTGTAACTCCTGGGGCTGGGCTGGGCCGCAGGAGGCTGGGGGGCTGCTCTGCCCCGACATCCTGCAGCGCCGAGCACAGCTGGAGCAGCCTGTCCTTCTGCCCTAGGCTGTCCTGGAGGTCCTGCAGGCTGTCCTGGGGGTCCTGCAGGTTGTCTTCTGCCTCCTGTACAGCTTCCTGGACCACATCTGCAAGACCTCCTGGGTGCTGCTTGCCAGCCAACTTGTCATCCAGGTAGGCAAGGCTCTGTGCAGCAGGGTGGGGACACCCCCCTGCACCCTGCCCAGGCTGTGGGAGCCATATCTGCCTGCTGGAGGTGCTTCTCTGCTGCCTGGGGTTCTGGGCCTGGAGGGCAGAGGATTTTGGCAGTCTGGCTCAACATGGCATGGCAAATGCAGCCCCTCAGATGGGGGGCTGCAAGCTGCTGCCTGACGTTTTGCATTTCAGGGGTGTTCAGCCTCCCTGTGCTATCATGTCTCTCCCCAGATCCTCACAGGTGCCTACATGGCCATGGCCAACATCGCTTCCTGCTCACCCTTTCCCCCGTGCCCGCCTGACTACCAGAGGACAGCAGGTTCCTGCGGGGATACCCCTCCTTGCCATCAGCGTGGGGTGGTGGCAGCCTGCGTCAGGGAGCACTGTGTGCCCCTGGCTGGGCAGCCTGGTGTGGGCACCCTGGGGACAGCACCACCTGGGGTAGCAGTGTGACACCCTGGGCAAGCAGGGGGTGGCTGGGTAGCCCCCATGATGGGCAAGGAGTGGGGGACCCAATGCAGCCCACAAGGGCGGGATGGGGCAAAACCTGTCCCCAAGGATGACACCCTGAAAGTGAGCCCACGTCCCATGCAGGTGTGTCCTGCCGGCAGAGGAGGCAGTGGCAGTGGCTGC